TTTAAATGTCTTGTAGAATTCCCCTGGGAAGCCACGTGACCCAGGACTCTTATTTGTTGGGAGATTTTTGATAACTGATTCAGTTTTCTTTGATGGTTATTGGCCCATTCAAATTTTCTATTTCATCCCGTTTGAGTTTTGATAGTACGTGGGTATCTAGGAATTTGTCCATTTCTTCCAGGTTGTCCAGTGAATTGGCATATAATTTTTCATAGTGTTCTCTAATAATCGTTTGTATTTCTGTGGTGTTGGTTGGGATGTCTCCTCTTTTGTTTGTGATTTTATCTATTTGGGTTCTCTCCCTTTCCTTTTTGAGAAGTCTGGCTAGGGGTTTATCAATTTTGTATATTCTTTCTTTTTTTTTTTAATTTTTTTTTTAAATTTATTTCTAGGAGAGAGAGAGACAGTGTGAGTAGGGGAGGGTCAGAGAGAGAGGGAGACACAGACTCTGAAACAGGCTCCAGGCTCTGAGCTGGCAGTCAGCACAGAGCCCGACGCGGGGCTCGAACCCACGAACCGCGAGATCATGACCTAAGTGAAAGTTGGACGCTTAACCGACTAAGCCACCCAGGCGCCCCCAATTTTGTTTATTCTTTCAAAAAACCAGCTCTTAGATTCATTGAATCTGTTCTACTGTTTTGTTTTTGGGTTTTTTTTTTATTCTATATTGTTTATTTCTGCTCTAATCTTTATTATTTCTCTTCTTCTGGCTTTGGAGTTTCTTTGCTTTCTGCTTCTAGTTCCTTTAGGTGTGAGATTACATTTGTATTTGGGAGTTTTTCTTGTTTCTTGAGATAGGCCTGGATTGCAATGCATTTTCCTCTTATGACTGCCTTTGCTGCATCTGAAAGGTTTGGACTGTCATATTTCATTTGCTTCCATATATTTTAAATTTCTTTTTTAATTGCCTAGATGACCCATTCATTCTTTAATAGGATGATTTTTAACCTCTATGCATTTGGAGGCTTTCCAAATTTTTTCTTGATTTTAAGTTTCATAGTGTTGTGATCCGATGCATGGTATGATCTGAATTCTTTTATATTTATCAAGGGCTGTTTCGTGACCCAGTGTGTGATTTGTCTTGGAGAATGGTCCATGTGCACTTGAGGAGAATGTATATTCTGCTACTTTTGTATGAAAAGTTCTGAATATATCTGTCAACTCCATCGGGTCCAGTGTATCATTCAAGATCATTGTTTCTTTATTGATTTTCTGCCTACACGATCTGTCCATTGCTGTAAGTGGAATATTAAAGCCCCTGTAATTACCGCATTCTTATCAACAAGATTGCTTATGTTTGTGATTAATCGATTTATATATTTGGGTAATTCCCCGTTCGGGGCATAAACATTTACAATTTTTAGCTCTTCTTGATGGATAGACCCTGTAATTATGATATAATGCTCTTCTTCATTTCTTGTTACAGACTTTAGTTTAAAATCTTAATTTGTCTGATGTAAGTATGGCTAGTCTAGCTTTCTTCTGATTTCCGATAGCAAGATAAATTGTTCTCCATCCCCTCATTTACAATCTGAAGGTGTCTTCAGGTCTAAAGTGGGTCTTTTGTAGACAGCATATAGATGGATCTTTTTTTTTTTTTAATTGTTTTATCCATTCTCTTACCCTATGTCTTTTGATTGGGGCATTTATTCCATTTACATTCAGAGTTATTATTGAAGGATATGGATTTAGTGCCATTGTGTTATCTGTAGGTTTCATGCTTGTGGTGATGTCACTGGTCCTTTGTAGTCTTTGTGGCATTCCCCTCACAGAGCCCCCTGTAGGATCTCTTGCAGGGCTGGTTTACTGGTCATAAACTCTAGTTTTTGTTTGCCAGGGAGTTCCTTTATCTCTCCTTCTATTCTGAATGACAACCTTGCAGTATAAAGGATTTTTGGCTGCATATTTTTCCTATTCAGCACACTGAATATTTCCTGCCACTCTTTTCTGGCTTGCCAAGTTTCAGTGGACAGGTCTGATACTCCTCTTATGTGTCTACCCTTGTAGGTTAAGGCCGGTTTATTCCTAACTGCTTTCAGAATTTTCTCCTTATCTTTGAATTTTTCTAGTTTCACTATGATATGCCATGGAAAAAACCTATTCTTGTTAAATCTGAAGGGAGTTCTCTGAGCCTCCTGGATTTGGATGTCTGCTCCCTTCCCCAGATTAGGGAAGTTCTCAGCTATACTTTGTTCAAGTAAACCTTCTGCCCCTTTCTCTCTCTCTTCTTATGGAACTCTTATGATAGGGATATTATTATGTTTCATTAAATCACTTAGTTCTCTAATTCTCTCTTTGTGGTCTAGTATTTTCTTATCTCTCTTTTTCTTGGCATCATCATTTTTCATAATTTTATCTTCTATTTCACTTAGTCTCTCCTCTGCTTCCTCCAACCTTGCTGTCACTGCATCTAGTTTATTTTGCACCTCATTTACAGCATTTCTTAATTTGTTGTGACTTTTTCTTAGTTCCTTGATCTCTGCAGCAGGAGATTCTCTGCTGTCTTCTATGCCTTGCACAAGCCCAGCAATTTATCTAATGTCTATTTTTCTAAATTCTTGTTCAACTATATTGTTTATATTTGATTTGAGCAATTCTCTAGCTGTCATTTCTTCCTGGAATTTCTTTTGAGGAGAATTCTTCCATTTCATCATTTTGGCTATCAACTTGGTTATAATGTGATTTACCCCAGAGGAACAGAGATATCTTTAGGAACTTTTTTCTTTTTTCTTTACAAACTTAAATTGTTGAGGCTCTGATAATCAGTGATTATTCTTGGGAGGAGGGTGTATGCCTTTCACACGCAAGTGTGCAAGTACTTGTTAGGTCTAGGAATTTGCTAGAAAATTTGCCAGAATTAACTCTTCCAGTCTCTGACCTTTAAAAAAAAAACAAAAAACAAAAAGCCTCTTTCCTTTTCCTTCCTGAAGAATTCAATCCTAAATAAAACATCAGGTAGAGCAGAACAAGGTAGGTGTCTGCTGTAGTGTCAGGTGGGAAAGCAACAGTGGTCTGGTGCAGGTTGTCAGAGCTCAGGCAGGGTAGAAGGGTGACTTTGCGGGGGGTTGGCTTGATAGTGGTGTTGGAGCCCAGAAGAGTGAGAAGAACTTCCCTGCAGGGATGGGCAAGTATTTCGGGCATCAGACCCTATGCATACTGAGGAGAGTGTCCACCCTCAGCAGTGACCTGGTGTAGGGTATCAGAAGCAGCCTGAAAGGCGAAGAGGACATCTATGTGGTGGGGTGGCTGGGTGCAGGGAGCTTAAGCAGGATGGTTCTTGCTGGGAGGTGGGGGACCTGGTGTGGGGTTCCGGTGTCCAAGAAGGGTGAGGAAAGTGGTAGACCCGGTGTGGGTTTCAGAAGCTGAAAAGTATAAGGAAGCTGTCCACATGGTAGGGTAGCCCAGTGTGGGGACTCAGAGCCCAGGGAGAGTGAGGAGAGCTTCCACACATCAGGGTGACGTTGTGTAGGGTTTTAGAACCTGAGTGGGGTAAGGGTGGATTCCAGGTGAGGGATAGGGAGCCAGCAGCAGAAATCAGAGTCTAGGCAGAGTCAGGAGGGATTTCCTATGGAAGAGGGCCCAGCGTAGGGTCACACCTGCGCAGATTGAGGATGATGTCCGTGGGGGTTGGCTGGCTCTGTGCAAGAACACCCCAGCAGGATAAAGTCCCCAACAGTAACGTTGGCCTGGATTAGGAAATCAGAGCCCAGTCAGGAAGAGAACAGCATCTTAGAGGAGGGAATGGCAAAGATAGAAAATTGACTAAATGTATTTATTACTCAAATAAATAACTAAGTTAAAGACAATGGAAGCAGCTTTCTTACTGTAACAGAAGGGAGTTAGAAATATGGAAGGGACAAAACTAGAACAAACTCTTTAATGTTGGATTGGAATTAGAGGTTATTAGTGTGAAGGCATCGTTTTAAATGTACCTTGATATGGAAATACAGAGGTAAGCGTGTGTGTGTGTGTGTGTTATGCAGAAAATGAAGGAGTTTGGTGGGGGAGATTAAAAGGAGGATCATTTGGGGAGAGCTGAACCTAGGGAGTGAGCTATCAGGAGCACGTCTGGGAAGATTCTACCTGAAGGGTTCAATTGTTGGAATGTTTTCCTCCTTGTCCTTTGGAAAAAGTCACATTTGTCACTGAGTTTATCTCCTAATCTGTGACTCTATTAAATCATCCTAACTTGTTAAAAAATAGTCACATTGACCTGTAGAGTCTTTTTGTTGTGGATTTGTAGGGATTAGAGAGAGAGAGATGGGCAGTGTAGATGGGTGGTATAAAGGCTGGCCTATTCAGCTAACATCTGCAGAGAGAGCTGCTTTTAGGAGCTGCTGGAAGTGACTATAGCAAAATGAATGGAGATCCATGAAGGAGTCAGTTAAGAACAGAGAAAAGCAGAGAGCACTGGGGAGCAGCTTCAGAACACAAATGACTGAGCTTTGACTTCCCTACTACATACACTCTTGAAAGTGGGGAGGCTGACACATGAGTTTTTTGTCAATGACCCTCTTGGAATGTGGTCACCAAAAGTTGCCTAATCAGCCACACATGATAAGAACACAGCACGAATGAATATATGCCCAGAATGGTCTGTAAATAATTATGTGTGCATACAGATGTACACAAATGCTCACAGTACATTCTTGCTGGTGAGTGAGCTCAGATAATACAGGTCTCAGAAAAGACTCCTCTAATTGCTTAGTTTCTATATTTCTTTCCTTCATATATATATTTTTAAACCTACACTTTGAGTTCCTACTTTTATAACATTTGCTGACGTATATTGAAACGCTATGATTCTCAGTGTGCTGATCCTGGAGATTTGGTTTGGGAGTTTTTTAAATTTCATTACTTTCCCAAAGAGTTATTTGCATATATGGGACCTCTGTTCTTGATTGGAGGTGTGACAAATTGCTACCATGTTTGGGTTTCATTTTACGATGTTTTAAGGAAGAGGTGTAAAGGATTTTTTGAAGAGCAGATTTCTTCTCAATATGACCTCAGAGACCACTTACGTGGAGTTGAGTTTCAAAAATGAATCCAAGCCTTCCTGCACCAAATCAAGGCCTCCTGCAGGTAAGAACATTTTCTGTTGGTCAATGTTAATGATGAGATGAAGGGTGAAGAGAGAATATGGTAAACGAAGCGTGTTGTGCTAGTTGCTGGCTCTCTGGCTGCAGTTGGGACACAATCTCAGAAGACTGAGTTACCTGAAGATAAGCGTTAACGGGTTGTATAGTTATATGCTAACAAAACTGAGGTGTGACAAATCCATTATGGTCCTGAGCTAAGGAGAGTGCTAATTATGCTGAGAAGTTATTCTCCTGTGTCTTCTGAGGCTGAGTGCAACTGCAGTCAAGAGCATGGGCACAGGGGCTCCTGGGTGGCTCAGTCGCTTGAACATCCGACTCAATTTCAGGTCAGGTCATGACCCCAGGGTCGTGGGATTGAGCCCCATGTTGGGCTCTGCGCTGAGCAAGGAGCCTGCTTAAGATTCTCTCTCTCCTTTTGCTCCACATGTGTGTGTGCACGCTTTCTCTCTAATTTAAAAAAAAAAAAGAGAGAGATTGGTTACAGGTCTTGAAACCTTCAGCCCAGATGCCAGGCTATTGATGAATTAGTGGGGCTCAATGAGGCTCAGTTAGGGGGGAAGGGTTTGGGTGGAGAGGGCTGCGGGTGCATCTGTTACTACCAGACTAAAGTGCAACCAAAGACCGTTGCAGATGAAGGACTAGAAAGTTGCAAAGGGAATCTCTTCCATGACTTGCCCGCATTCAGAAAATCCACTGCATCCTGCATCCCCAGGCTGGATTTAACTGAATTTGGGAGTAGATAGAAGGTAATATGGTTATCACTTCGGATATATCAGATATAGAACAAAAGAGAAAAATAAAACATGTGTATTATAAGAAGCTGTGAGAGGGAGGTCATGACTGCACATGCTTTCCAAAACACTAACATGGAGATAGGGAGAACGCTCAGGGGACTGTTTTTTCCCCTTAAGAATTTTTAGAAACTTCTTTATTACATGTTGAAATGCTCATTCTAGAAGAATTAAAAACTAGAGGCATACACGGGTTTATATTTAGTCTTACCATCTAGAGATCACTAGAATTTACATTTCAGTGTAGATCTTTCCAGATATAAATACTGTATCTAAATGTGCTTTTTCTTTAAAAAATTTTTTAAATGTTTTTATTTATTTCTGAGAGAGAGAGAAAGAGAGAGACAGAGACAGCGTGAGCAGGGGAGGGCCAGGGAGAGAGGGAGACACAGAATCCGAAGCAGACTCCAGGCTCTGAGCTGTCAGCACAGAGCCTGACGCAGGGCTTGAACCAACGAACCGTGAGATCATGACCTGAGCTGGTCAGACGCCTAACCGACTGAGCCACCCAGGTACCCCTAAATGTGTTTTTTCTAAAGCTGAGATTATATTATACATTATTAAGGATTTTGTCCCCCTGCTTGTCAATACCTCATAGCTTTGGGAAAACAATTCTTTCATTATTTTTTTTTTTTTATGGAGGTATGATTGATATATAACATTCTGCAATAGTCCCCTCTTATCTGGGGGGATATGGTCCAAGGTCCCCAGTGAATGCCTGAACAGTGGATAGTACCAAACCTATATACTGTTTTTTTCCTATACATATATATCTGTGATAAAAGTTGAATTTATAAATTAGGTACAGGAAGAAATTAACATCAATAACTAATAATAAAACAGAACAATTGTATTAATATACCATAATAAAAGCTATGTGAATATGGTCTCTCTATCTCAAAATCTTAAACTGCATATTCACTTTGCTTGTGATGATGTGAGATGATAAAATTCTTACGTGATGAGATGAAGGTAGGTGAATGACATTAGGCTACTATTCACCTTCCGAGGATACATCAGAAGGAGGGTCGTCTGCCTCCAGACCACAGTTGACCACACATAACAAATTGTGGAAAGCAAAACTGTGGGGAAGAGGGAGGGGGGAACCCCTGTGTTTCAGGTATAAAATATAGTGATTTGATTTTTGAATATACTGGTGAAATGATCACCACAATAAGTCTAGTTAACGTTTATCACCATAAATAGTTACCCCAATTATTTTCTTGTGATGAGGCCTTTGAAGATTTAATCTCTTAGCAACTTTCAAATAAATATATAATAATACTTAATAGTTGATAATACTATAATAATCTCTGGTATTAGCTAAGTGAACATGCTGTACATTACATCTCCATGACTTCTTTTTTTTTTCTTTCGAGTTTTTACTTAAATTCAAGTTAATTAACATACGGTGTAGCATTGGTTACGGGAGTAGAATTTAGTGCTTCATCACTTACATATGACCCCCAGTGCTCATCCCAACCAGTGTCCTCCTTAATGCCCATCACCCACTTAACCCATCCCCCCACCGACCTCCCCTGTATAGCAACCCTCAGATCTCTATGGTTAAGAGTTTCTTGGGGCGCCTAGGTGGCTAAGTCGGTTCAGCGTCCGATTTTGGCTCAGGTCATGATCTCGTGGTTCATGAGTTCGAACCCCGTGTTGGTCTCTGTGCTGACAGCTCAGAGCCTGGAGCCTGTTTCACATTCTGTGTCTCCCTCTCTCTGCTCCTCCCCTACTCGCACTCTGTCTTTCACTCTCAAAAATAAATAAAAATGGTAAAAAATGGTAAAAAAATGAGTTTCTTATGGTTTGCCTCCCTCTCTGTTTTTATCTTGTTTTATTTTCCATGGCTTCTTTATTTTATAACTGGAAGTTTGCTCTTCTTAATCCCCTTCATTCATTCCCCACGACCCCCTACCCTATCTCTGGCAACCACCAATCTGTTCTCTGTATCTGTGACTTTCGTTTTGTTTTTTGAATTCAACAGATAAGTGAAATCTCTGTCTGACTTATTTCACTTGGCATAATGCCCTCAAGTCCCATCTAAGTTGTCACAAATGACAAGAATTCCTTCTTTTTTATGGCTGAGTAATATTCCATTGTATATAAATATCACACTTTCTGTATCTATTCATGGATAGATGGACACTTAGGTTCCTTTTCCTAGCTACTGTAAATTATACTATAATAAACATAAGGGTGCATAGACCTTTTTGATTTAGTTAATGCCTTTTTTTCTTTGGGTAAATACCCAGTACTGGAGTTAATAGATTGTCTGATATTTCTATTTTTAATTTTTTAAGTTTATTTATTTATTTTTGAGAGACAGTGAGTGGGGAAGGGGACAGAGAGAGAAGGAAAGAATCCTAAGCAAGATCTGTGCTGTCAGCACAGAGCCAGCCGACGTGGGGCTTGAACTCACAAACTGTGAGATCATGACCTGAGTCGAAATCAGGGGTCAGATGCTTACCTGACTGAGCCACCTAGGTGCTCCTCTATTTTTAATTTTTTGAGGAATCTCCATACTGTTTTCCACAGTGGCTGTGCCAATTTACATCCCCACCAAGAGTGTGCAAGGGTTGCCTTTTCTCCACATCCTCACCAACTTATTTCTTGTCTTTTTAAAAAAAAGGTTTTATTTAAATTCTAGTTAGTTAACATATACTGTAATATTGGCTTCAGGTGTAGAATTTAGTGATTCATCACTTTTTAACACCTTATGCCCATCATACGCGCCCTCCTTAAACGTCTTTTCTTTTTGATATTAGCCATTGAGAAAAGAATCCTTTTTTTTTTTTTTAATGTCTATTCATTTTTGAGAGATAGAGATAGAATGTGAGCAGGAGAGGGGCAGAGAGCAAGGGAGACCCAGAATCTGAAGCAGGCTCCAGGCTCTGAGCTGTCAGCACACAGACCTGTGTAGGGCTCAAACCCGTGAACTGTGAGATCATGACCTGACTGAAGTCGGAAGCTTAACCCAATGAGCCACCCAGGTGCCCTGAGAAAATAATTCTTAACTGTGAAATAGTGACTAAAAAGGTCTGACCTTATTTTAAGAATGTGATGAGGGATGACCATAATAAAGATTTATCTACTATGACATCACTTAAAGTTGTTAAAGTTGTAAACAATCTGGAGGATTATTCAAATACATAATGAAATACTATACAACCACAGTAGTGTTAAAGAAGAAAATCTGGTTGTATTAAAAATGTTCATGGTCTAGTGTATAAGAATATAGTAGGTCTGAAGCTAGTATCTATGGAATGTCAATCATGAGGGAAAATGTGTATGTATGTGTATGCACTTTGAAAATTACTGGAAAGGTATATACCAGAACATTAGCAACAATTAGCCTCAGTGTCAAGGGGTTGTGTTTTTATGTATTTTCCAGAGTTTCTACAATGAACGTTATTATTTTGTCCTACTTTCCTATGATTTCAAATGTCAAATTCTTGGTAATAGAATGTCATCCAAGGAAAGGGAGAAGAGGAAGGGGAGGAGAAAGAAAGGAAAAGACAGGATTTATTACTGATGAAACTCATTTGATTTCTCCTTCAGCTCCCCAAGAGAAGACCAACCTGCACAAAAGTAACCCGAGTTTTCCCAGGCTACTTTTTGCCTCATTGCTGGTACTTCTGCTGCTATTGGCAATCTCATTTTTTATTGCTTTTATCAGTAAGTATCCAACTGAATCTATACGGAATGTCTGCCTTCCATGAAGAGATGGCATCTGTTAGAGATACTGACGTTTAATAATGGGTCTATCCAGAAATCTGGAAAAGAAGTCTTCTTTGGGAGGGAGAGACACAATTAATGGGACTCTATTGGGAATTTTGTTACTTATTTGATTTTAGTTACTTCTTTAGAAGTAGAATGGGATCCACTCTATAGAGAAATTGAAGAATCTATGTGTGTGTTTGTGTTATAGAGGGACATATATTAGGTACCATTTCTATGCTAGATAGTTGCATAAATGAGGACAAATCTATATTTGCCTATCAGTGTTTATAAAGCCAGGGTTTTTTCTGACTGCACAGGCACATATTTTGAAATGAACTAGTGGACAAAAGGAGATGGGAAAGGATATTCCAGGAAGAGTTTCCTATTGAAATTTCACCTTAATCATGTCTTTCCTGCCCAAGACTGTGTAAGATCTAAAGGCCAAGTTGGCAAACAGGTGGATTTCTTCAGATCTTTGGGTTTAAGAATTTATCAAAAATTTAAAAGACAAAAGAAGTAGGGAAGCCAGCGTGTGGTGGGTCAGGGAGCAAATGGGAGGTAAGGAGGAAAGAAAGTGAAAATTCACTTTCTAGAGGAAGAGGTAAGTTATTTTTAAGTTGTGACATATTTCAGTACATAGGTATGCTGAAAAATAAGGGCCAGTGGGAGTGGATAGAATAAAGGAAGGAAGATGAAGAAAATAATGCCCATATCTCCCGCTCAATGTTGGATTAAAAAAAAAATTCTCACTCTGCAGGCAGCCCAGAACTCAGAATTAGCTCATCCACAACCGCACCCCCCCCACCTCCACAATAGACCTATGCTGTGTACATCCTCTGAAGTGTTTGTTTTCCCTCCATTCTCCCACCTTCAAGCCTTAGCTTCTGTATTTAGTGTTGAAGGAAAATATGGATCAATCCCTTTGCACTCATTCTAACGGAACTATCATGTCTCCTTTCAACTACTGATCGTTCAGCTATTCCTGGAGAAATCTATGGTTACTTTAAAATCAGTAGGATTAGGATTACATTGAATGCAGGTGATGAGAAATCTTTTCCATTGCCAGGATCTTTCTACTTAAGCAACCGGACATTTGTAGATTTTGTTCCTATAAAATAGAATGCAAGAAAGTAACGATAGAGAGTAGAGTCATAACACAAGAAAATTAACGGTCTTTTTTTTCCCCCAGTTTTTTTTCAAAAGTATTCCCAGCTTCTTAAGGAAAAAAAGACTACAAAAGAGCTCACGCACACAGCATTGGAATGTCTGAGAGAAAATGTGACGATGGAAGGTAAAAATGAATGTGCCTGTAGTTCAGTGGTTGACTATGTACTATATAAGGATACCAAGATGATATTTCCAGTAAGATTCATAGGCACATCATACTAAGAAGCTGAATGTCGTGATCATTTCAAGCTGCAAGTATACCAGTAAATAAGACCTAAAATTATTTATTTTTTTTTTTACAAATAGTTTATTGTCAAATTAGTTTCCACATAACACTCAGTGCTCATCCCCACAAGTGTCCTCCTCCATGCCCATCCCCCCTCCCCCCCACATCCATCAGTCCTCAGTTTTTGTCAGCATTCAAGAGTCTCTCATGGTTTGCCTCTCTCCCTTTCCCCCACCATTTCCACCCTTCTTCTCCCCCTTGTTCCTCCGTCAAGTTCCTCCTAATCCTCCTATACGTGCAAACATACGATATTTGTCCTTCTCTGCCTGACTTATTTCGCTCAGCATAACACCCTCAAGGTCCATCCATGTTGCTACACATGGCCAGATTTCATTGTTTCTCATTGACATGTAGTATTCCATGGTATACATAAACCACATCTTCTTGATCCATTCATCTGTTGATGGACACTTAGGCTCTTTCCATGTTTTAGCTATTGTGGAGAGTGCTGCTATGAACATTGGGGTACATGTGCTCCTATGCCTCAGCATTTCTGTATCCCTTGGGTAAATTCCTAGCAGTGCTATTGCTGGGTCATAGGGGAGTTCTAGTGTTAGTTTCCTGAGGAACCTCCACAGTGTTTTCCAGAGGGGCTGTACCAGTTTACATTCCCACCAACAGTGTAGGAGGGTGCCCGTTTCTCCACATCCTCGCCAGCATCTAGAGTTCTCTGATTTGCTCATTTTAGCCACTCTGACTGGCGTGAGGTGGTATCTCAGTGTGGTTTTGATTTGTATTTCCCTGATGAGGAGGGATGCTGAGCATCGTTTCATGTGTCTGTTGGCCATCTGGATGTCCTCTTTGGAGAAGTAAGACCTAAAATTCTTATATGCATAGATTTATCTGTGCAAAGAAACACTCTTCATTGTGGAGATGGCTGTTTAAATCCATGGGTGATCTCTTTATGAAACGATTGTCCAGCCACATGCTTGGTGTTCTTTCCAGACACACTTTCTCACTTTTTACAGTGTGGCTGAGAACTGTCCAGGTCCCCAGATTCTGGTTCCTTTTTGCTCCACACTTCCTTCAGTTTATCTCTTTCTTCCTGCATTTTCCTAGTAGGGAGAAATCAAGCTTTAATACTTGGCTTAGAAATCTCTGCTAAATATCCAAGGCTGTCACAAGTTCTACCTTTCACAAAACATTAAACACAATTCAGCAAATTCCTTGCTATTTTATAATAAGAATTGCCTTTCCTCCTGTTTCCAATAACATGCTTCTCATTTCTGAGACCTTACCAGAAACATCTGTAACGTTCATATTTCTACCAACATTCTGTTCATTGTTGTGTGTGTATATTCTTTGAGATGATAGGACCTTTCTCTACAGCTCTCTTCTTTTAGGGAGTCCTCACCAAAATGACCATATTGCTACCAGCAGCCCTTTCTTTTCTTTAAAAACTTGTTTTAATGTTTATTCATTTTGAGGGGGGTGAAGGGTCAGAGAGAGAGGGAAACACAGAATTCGAAGTAGGCTCCAGGCTCTGAGCTGTCAGCACAGAGCCCGATGTGGGACTTGATCTCACAAACCACGAGATCATGACCTGAGCTGAAGTCAGATGCTTAACCAACTGAGCCACCAAGGTGCCCCGTTTCTTTTCCTTTCTTTTCTTTTTTTTTTAAAAGTGTATTTATTTATTTTGATAGAGTAAGTGGGGAGTTGGGGAGGGGCAGAGAGAGAGAAAGAGAGAGATAGAGAATCCCAAGCAGGCTTTGTGCTGCCAGTGCAGAGCTGGGGCTTGATCTCACCATCTGTGAAATCATGACCTGAGCCGAAATCAAGGACACTTAACTGACTCAGCCAGCTAACTGAAAAGAGCCACACTTAACTGACTGAGGCGTTCTAGACATTCTTCATTTTCCATTACAGCATTTTTGATCCGCCACGTTTCTTTTTGTTTCTTAGAATTTCCATCTCTCTGATTACATAGCTCATCTCTTCTTGCATGCACTCTACTTTGTTTATGAGAGTCCTTAATGTATTAGCCACTGTTGTTTTAAATTTCTGGCCTGATAATTCCAACATCCTGTTACATCTGAGTCTGGTTCTGATACTTGCTTTGTCTCTTCAAACTGGGGGGTGGGGTGGGATGTTGCTTGTTTTGTAGTATGCCTTGTAATTTTTTCTCCTGAGCTAGACATGACGTATGAGTAAAAGGAACTACTGTAAATAGGCCTTTAGACATGTGGTGGTGAGGCGTGGTGGGAGGGGAAGCATTCTGTGGTCTTATCATTTCTTCTCATTCTTTTAGTGGATTTTGCCTCTGGGCTTTGAACTTAAAGGTGCTCAGGGCACCTGGGTGGCTCAATTGGCTGAGCATCTGACTTCGGCTTGGGTCATGATCTCACTCAGGAGTTCGAGCCCTGCCATCAGCGCTGACAGCTCAGAGCCTGGAACCTTCTTCGGATTCTGTGTCTCCCTCTCTCTCTGCCCCCCCCCGCTCACACTCTGTCTCTCTCTCTCAAAATAAATAAATGTTAAAAAAAAAAAAGTGCTCTCAGCTTTTCTTATAACTTCGCTGAGAGCGGAACTGGACGGTGGAGTGGGTCGGAGTTGGATCTTTCCCCCTCCCCTGGTCAGGCTCTGCTGAACCCATAGCAGGTTAGGTTCCACAGTTTGTCCCGAGGCTCAACCTTGTGAAAAAGAACAAAGTGTGTCGTATATTTCCAAATATTCTATATTCTGCTCAGAAAAGAAGGCTCACCTGCTGGTGATTGGGACTTTGCCCCTCCCCTTGCCAGAAGCCCAAGGGGAATTTTCTCAGATACGCCCTGGGAGAACCTGAAGGTAAAACTCACAAAAGGTTTTCCCTCCTTCCCACCACTGGCTGGGTCACCCTGGAGTTTTTATCTCCGAATGTCCACACTGGGCTTCCAGCAGTTTGCCAGTTACACGTCAGGTTTCCCTTCCCTGGGACTGGTCCCCACAGAAATTTTGGCTTCTGGGTTCCTGCTTCAGTGAGTTGTGATCCCCTGTATTTGTCTGTCTGCATAATTTTAAGAGCAGTGGCTTTGCCTGTGAAGAGTTGTTGAATTTGGTTCGTTCGGCTTTGTACCTGTTAGGATGGTATGGCCAGACTGGGAACTGGAAGTCACTTTACTTCTCTACTCATTGTCTGTTTTGTTTCTGTCATTTGCTTGAGTAATTTCTGTCTTTCAGTTCACTGACTTTTCTGTCTTCTCTGCTTTTGAGCCCAGCCACTGAGCTTTTTGTTTTGGTTATTATATTTTTTAGTCATAACAATGCTTTTGTTCTCCTTTATATCTCTAATTTGTTGGCTGAGATTTTCTTTTTTTTCCCTTTTTTTTTGAGAGAGAGAGAGAGTGTACAAGTGGGGGAGTGTCGGAGGGGGGAGAGAGAGAGAGAGAGGGAAAGAAAGAATGAATCTTAAGCAGGCTCCACACTCAGTGCAGAGCACCATGCATGGCTCAATTCTACGACCATGAGATCATGACCTGAGCTGAAATAAAAAATCAGACGCTCAACCATCTGAGCCACCCAAGCACCCCCATTGGCTGAGATTTTCTATTTCTTTTCTGAGGCATTGTTTTATTTTCTTTTGGTCCAAACATGTTTTTTGTTGAGGCATCTTTGTCATGGTTTCTTTAAAATATTTGTCAGATAATTCTAATATTTCTGTTATCTTGATGTTGGCATCTATTTATTTTCTTTTTTAAAAAATTGATTTTGAGGGGTGCCTGGGTTGCTCAGTCGGTTAGGCGTCCAACTTCGGCTCAGGTCACAGTCTCACGGTTTGTGGGTTTGAGCCCCACATCAGGCTCTGTGCTGACAGCTAGCTCAGAGCCTGGAGCCTGTTTCAGATTCTGTGTCTCCCCTCTCTCTCTGACCCTACCTTGCTCTCTCTCTCTCTCAGAAATAAATAAAACATTTAAAAAAATAAAAAAATTTTTGATTTTGAAAACTTGCATTCTTGGTATGATTGGTGATTTTCCACTGAAACCTGGAATATTCTGAATCTGGTTCTTATTTAAACCCTCTGTTTTAGCTGGCTTCTCCAGACACTGCTCTGGCAAGGGAAGTGGGTTCTGCCTTGTTACTGCCTGATACTGGTGGCCTTGATCCCCTGGACCCCTGGTGGGTGGCCTCCTTTTCACCTCTGGATGAAGATGCAAATTCCAGTTTCCATGAGGTCTTCCTTGGTCTTTAATTTTAATAACACTCACACTTACAATTTTTCTTTTATATTGGACATCTGTGGCCTTCTGTCAATACAGGGAAAGATTGGAGCTGCTGCCCAAAGGCTTGGAAGTCATTCGGTTCCAATTGCTACTTTATTTCTAAGACAGTCAGAACTTGGACGGAGAGTGAGAAGAACTGCTTAGCAATGAACGCTCACTTGCTGGTGATCAACACTAAGGAAGAGCAGGTACTTTCTAATGGATGACAGAATCAGGAGTCCAGTCTGGTTGTTTACCTCTATTGTCTGAGGAAGAGGTTTTCATTGTTTTGGACTATTGGTAGTATGACAGAATGCTTTTCATAAAATTGATAGGAAAGGCTACCTAAGCCTTTACGTGCTACACCTTCTTCGTGTTTCCATAAAACGAATCTCTCCCAAAATAAATTGGGAGAGATTTAAAAATTTAAAATAATTTTAAATTATATTTAAAATATAATATATGGGGTATGAGTGGAAGAATGAAAATGTTTTGGTCTGAAATATCAGCTTCTTATTTCAGCCTGTAAGCATTTTATAAATTATTAACTATTTCATGGAGAAGGGGTATTATATCCAATTAGAGAAACAGAGTTCAATCATGAAGAGTAACAACCAACAATCAGAAATGAATGAAGTTAAAGAAGTTACAAAAGGAAAATGATTTAATCTGCAAAAATTTTCTAATGCATGACTTTGAAGTATACTACTTAAAAAATTTTTTTTAATGTTTTATTTATTTTTGAGAGAGAGAGATAGAGACAGCATGAGCAGGGGAGGGTCAGAGAGAGAGGGAGACACAGAATCTGAAGCAGGCTCCAGGCTCTGAGCTGTCAGCACAGAGCCCGATGCGGGGATTGAACCCATGAACCATGAGATCGTGACCTAAGCCGAAGTCGGATGCTTAACCAATTGAGCCACCCAGGCGCCCCAAAGAATACTACTTCTTAAGTGGAGAAAGGAAGTGAATCTGAGATGAGAATTCATTATGATCATGGATAGAAATTGCTTCCATTTGTATTGAACATTGCTATGTTCTAAATGTTTATATCTCCCCCAAACTTCATATGGTGAAATCTTAACCCCCCAAGATGGTGGTATTTAGTGGTAGGGTCTTTGAGATGTGCTTGGGTAATGAGGATAGAACCCTCATGAACGAAGTTCATTTTCTTATAAAATAGCTCCCTTGCCCCTTCTGCCATGTAAATATGCACAGTGAGAAAAAGCCGACTATGAATCAGGAGGAGGGCCTTTACCTGACCACATTAGTACCCTCTTCTGCTGTTTCCAACCTCCAGAATTATGACAAAGAAACTTCTGTGGTTTATACGCAGCCTGTTCATTATAGCAGCCTGAGCAGACTAAGACAGACATCGTGCCCACAAGTGTTGCCTTTGACCCTGTACTGCTCAGCCAGAGAAGACCTAGGCTCCTGGGCAGGGGCCCCATGTGGCTATTCCTGGATCCTTTTTCTTCTCTTTTCTCTAAGGCTATAAAGAACTTAGTTCTAACTGAATACTTTAAAGGCTATAACTCCTTTCTTTTCTTCCCTTAGGATTTTATCATCCAGAACACAGCTATGTCTTCTGCTTACTATATAGGGTTGTCAGACCCAAAAGGAGAAAGAGATTGGCAGTGGGTTGATCGGACGCCATACAACGAAAGTGTCACGTGAGTACAGAATTAGATAAAGGAATCCCGGGCCCTGGATCATGTGTGGATTTTAGAGTGTTCTGACTATCAGCTATGAAAATAGAATAGCTCACTCTTAACTCTTGGGCACTAGGTTCAAATAATTTTATTTCTTATGTAAACATCACAAGAACTCTGGGAGGCACACATTTTTATTTTTCCTGCTGTTGAGATGAGGAAATTGAGGTTAGAGAGTTGAGATAACTTGGCAAAGGTTATCAGCAGTGGTGATGGTGATCCTCAAATCCAGCTCTATTTCACACCAAAGTCTATACTTTTAACTCCTACATTCTATCTCTAATCATACCAAAAATTTACGTCAGTTCAGATCATGGCCAATTATTGACTGAATATTTCTCATCAAGCAAATAAGCTAAATTCTGATACGTATAGTATCTCACATTTATGTAGGTCTTTTAAAACTCTTAAATACTTAAGAGCATTTTAGTATACTACTACCTTTGATCCTCATATCATAAAGGAATATGACTCTAGTTTCTATTTTTTAGATGTGGAAATCAGAGAAATTAAATTAGGATTGCAAGGTAACAGGGATCTTAGCAGATTTGGGGATTTTAACTGGTTCTTCAGATGCCAAAAGCAATATATATTTTATTTTTGTTTTTATTTTGATTAAAAAATTGTTTTAATGTTTTTACTTTATTTCTTTTCTTTTTTTTTTTACAAATAGTTTATTGTCAAATTAGTTTCCACATAACACTCAGTGCTCATCCCCACAAGTGTCCTCCTCCATGCCCATCCCCCCCTCCCCCCTGTTTTTACTTTATTTCTAAGAGAGAGAGAGACAGCATGAGCAGGGGAGGGTCAGAAGGAGAGGGAGACACAGAATCTGAAACAGGTTCCAGGCTCTGAGCTGGCGGTCAGCACAGAGCCCGACGCCGGGCTCGAACCCACAAACCGTGAGATCATGACCTGAGCCCAAGTCGGCCGCCCAACCAACTGAGCCACTCAGGCGCCCCAATATATATTTTAAAAAAGGAAACACACTCCAGTGATATTTGGGACTGGGGTGAAATCTTTTTTTTTTTTTTTTCTTTTCCCATCATTTAAAGGCACTTATGGGCTGGCAGTCCCCTGGGAACGGGACGTAGTGATGGACACGTAGAAGGGCTATCTGCTAGGAGAATGTTTAATGCGATGAAAGGACACCATACTGGCTGACATCAGCACCATTTCAGAGGGAAATGCCAGAGCTTCAGGTGGAGGAAAAACTGCACGAGAAGTGGGGAAGGAATGATGTGGGCACATCCACCCAGTTCAAGCCCAGCCCCCTTCCTCAGTGTCTCTAGCCCCTTTCAAAGCACTGTTTGAAGAAACAACCTCATGCATTTTTTTTTTTTTCTCCTTTCAGATTTTGGCACTCGGGTGAACCCAGCGGTCTTCAAGACGGTTGTGTTGCACTACTGTTTCGTGCTAAAGTAAAATGGGGCTGGAATGATGTTCCTTGTAAGGAAAACCACAAGTCACTTTGCAAGATGACAAAGATCTACTTATGAATGAGACCTTGTGCAGGAACATGTATCCACCGTTACAGGGATAGCTAATTTGCTATTTTTATTCAGATGCAAATCTTGTGTGAAGAATCTCCTTAGAAGTTTTCCATAGTCTGTTACCTATTCCATCTATGAGAGAATCAGCGTACGCATTCATGCATTTGTTCCTGCCCCATGTGCAGAGATCATACTTTTGCAGATGCATGGGGAAAGCGTGAGCCTCCGTTCCTCATTTTAAGCAGTTAGATATTGATATAATTATATGTGATATTGATATATAATTATATGATAGGGTTCCTCTGTCTGGATTTTTTTTTTCCATGTGAGTACTCAAAAGCAAAAATAATCCCAACTGTTACTTTCTATTCCTCTCCGACATTTGTCACCTTTACCTGAAGCACATTATGTGCCAGTTGGAATCTAACACACGTCACTGGAAGTTAGGTCCCGGCTCTGGCCCCGTAGACTTTTGGAGATCCTCAGCCTTCTCTTTTCAGTCTTAGATTGTCACCTAACCTCAGAGTGCACTCACAGGGAAATCAGAAATTGAACATTAGAGATTTAGAATCAGAAGTTATTCCTAGTGAGTTGACAGAGATGTATGATCATGAGGTCATCTGATAGGTTTTTTTTCCTTGAGTTTTACAGTTTCTGTGTGTAGATGGACACTCAAAACGGCTCCTGGTTTATTTGTCTTCCCCTTTTCACTGAAGTTCTCACAGATCATTTTATTTCTACTGCAAGATGAAATATATTCATAATGAAGCCGGTTATTCATTGCTCTCCTATGCTAATTATAATCAATCACAAGAAAGCTGATACTAGCCATGGCTATTCAAATATGACCACTTGAGATTATGCCCTGATTGATTGATCTTGGTGCAACTAACTAATTACATTTGCCACTCATTACCTGACTGTATCTAAAAGTGAGTTGTTTTTGGACAGGTCTGATCTTATCCATTGTATGTAGAATTTAGCAGTTTACTCTTTGGAGAGCATCTGACTTATAATTATGGAAGAGTTCCAGGGAAGCTCTGTTTACAAAGAGCTCTTCTCACTATTATTTCAATAATACGGGGTTGGACTGAAGAGCCAAAAGAACCACTTTACTAAATGCTTTTGATTGTCGGGGTAGAGGCTATGCTTGAACTGGAGTGTAAGGGAGAGCGGGGACATTAGTCGTTGCTGCCCCTTTCTCTAACCCCCACCTTACATCTTATGAATGTGGTTCAGATCTTATTTTCTTTAATTTTCCACAAGGCACCAAATCAAGATTGTGGGTAACAGGGTTTATATAAGATTTGTGTTTAAAGAGTGATATTATTATTTAAATTTTTTTTTAATGTTTATTTTTGAGCAAGAGAGAGACAGAGGATGAGTGGGGGAGGAGCAGAGAGAGAGTGAGACAGAATCCGAAGCGGGCTCCAGGCTCCAAGGTGTCAGCACAGAGCCCGACATGGGGCTCGAACTCACAAACTGCGAGATCATGACCTGAGCCGGAGTCGACACCTAACCAACTGAGCCACCCAGGTGCCCCTAAAAGTGATATTAAAGTGAAAAGGCCTCCAGCTGACTTCAAATCAGCAGACAGAATTGTGAAAAATAAAATTGTTGCTTTAATCCACTAAGTTTGGGGTCGTCTATTATTTAGCAATGTATATATGAAACACGTGAATTATACTACAGCTTTGAACCAGATTCTGCAGAACAATGCTATCCAATCACAATTGCTGTCTCTAAAAAGACCAATAGTTTTTGTTTTTTGTTTTTTTGTGGGGGTTTTCTGGAGAAAATCTTGAGAACTGGTGGGCACTGCCTTTTTTGCTGTGACTCTCAGCCACTCTATGCTTCTAGTAACCCACCCTCAAACTTGAGCCATTTGTGAAAGCAATTTAAAAAACATCTTTTTAAATGTTTATTTTTGAGAGAGGGAGGGGGGAGGGTCAGAGAGAGAGGGAGACACAGAATCTGAAACGGGCTCCAGGCTCCGAGCTGTCAGCACAGAGCCCGATGGGGGGCTCAAACCCACCATCCAGGAGATCATGACTTGAGCCGAAGTCAGTTGTTTAAGCGACTGAGCCACCCAAGCGCCCCTAAAGATTGACAGTTTTAAAGTGAGAGTAATTTTATCATTAAGTGAATAAAATGCAAAATTAAAATGTTTGGTTTTTATACAGTTTAATTCTTACTCTTGTGTTGTTGGCATATTATATTACATCTTTGGTGTGTAGTTCTTAAAGCTCAATATATTAAGTGTGCATATATAATTTTTTTTCAAATATTAAGTATGAGCAAACAAAATGGTTTTCACATCACTATTTTAGAAGATGGGTTTAAGGGGCGCCCGGGTGGCTCAGTAAGTTAAGCGTCTGACTTCGGCTCAGGTCATGATCTCACGGTTCATGGGTTCAAGCCCCACATCAGGCTCTGCGCTGACAGCTTGAAGCCTGGAGCCTGCTTCGGATTCTGTGTCTCCCTCTCTCTCTCTGCCCCTCCTCTGTTCACTCTCTGTCTCTCAAAAATGAATAAAGGTTAAAAAAAATTTTTTTTAAAGAAGATGGATTTTAAAATGCTTGATTAAAGTTTAGGTAATTGTTCCATTTGAGGTAAAAGAAAAATACAGGCTACAAACAACTATTTGAAGAATGTGTGTTTATTTGGTTTATTAAGAAGATACATTTAAGCCTATGAATGAAATATACTTAGAATTTTAGGATCTATATTCATTTTTATGGTTGTTATGAAAAACAAATAAACATACAAACAAATCTACCAACACCTAAAGCCCTTTTAGTCAACTTGCCACTTAGTAAATGGAAAAGAAAGCAGAAGCCGTGGAATATTCGGTACTGGGGAAAATACTTTTGCTCTGTGGAGTTAAAATGATTAGCCTTGATGTTTTTTCTGAAGGTGGGAATCTGCTGCCACATGACAAACCCGTCTGAGCCTGTTAATATTAATTGTGTCTTGATAATCCTGAAACATGAATTACTAATAGTTTTGTCTTTGCCAATATGAAAATCATCAATGCTACCCACTTTGTCAAAGATGAATTCGGTGACTCAGGCATGGGAGAAATAATGTAACAGTGCAAATGTATTAAGCCACATGTTCAGTATGAGTGTTTAATTAAGTCAATCACATTTTCTCTCCACAATGGAAATGCTCTGTGTTAGTTAAAATTGTTGCAAACAGAACTACATAATAAAAACTAGTATTTAGGGCTGTGGTGCATATTGCTGATCAATTTATACCTTCTTCCTTAGAAACAAAAGTTTGATTTTCTTTTCAGAGGGTCATTTTCTTTCATGCAGCCCAGATGACCTCAGTTTCAGCTCTGTGAATGGAGACTGATTAGCTCAAGGCAATCAAAATAATCACCCTACTGGTTGGTTTAGGAATAGGTACAAATTTCAAGGTAAGCCGATGAATCCGCTCTCCTTGTTCTCCAATGAATCAGGGAGCTAATCTCCCTCTCCCAAAGAATATAAACAGAGAACTATGTAGTCCTACTTGGTACTCATAGTTATTCTATCACCATGAGGGGCACTGGCTTTGAAGTGACAGGACCACCATGGAGTAGAGCAATGGGAAGAATCTGGTTTCTTAAGGGTATTGTTGAGCCACTGAATCAACTATTCCTGAAGCATATTCTACTCTGAATTTTTAATAACCAAAACTAATGAATTTTCTAATCTAAGTCTGATGGAATCGTGACTGATATAAAATAGTATACATATATTTTTCATTTAATTTATGTTTTAAACTTACATCCAAGTTAGTTAGCATATAGTGCAACAATGATTTCAGGAGCAGATTCCTTAATGCCCCTTTCCCATTTAGCCCATCCCCCCTCTCACAACCCCTCCAGCAACTCTGTTCTCCATATTTAAGAGTCTCTTATGTTTTTGTCCCCCTCCATGTTTTTATATTATTTTTGCTTCCCTTCCCTTATGTTTGTCTGTTTTGTATCCTAAAGTCCTCATATGAGTGAAGTCATGATATGTGTCTTTCTCTGACTAATTTCACTTAGCATAATACCCTCTAGTTCCATCCACATAGTTGCAAATGACAAGATTTCATTCTTTTTGATTGCCGGGTAATACTCCATTGTATATATATACACCATATCTTGTTTATCCATTCGTCCATCAATGGACATTTGGGCTCTTTCTATACTTTGGCTGTTGTTGATGGTGTAAAACGGTATATTTTTAAAGATCTAACTTTATTGAGATTCAGTAGTCTAAAGGAAGAAGCTAATATTTTTAGAGCACAGGTCAATGATTTTTGTTTGTTTTAGATTCCATTTATGAGTAGAATCACATGGTATTTGCCTTTCTCACTCTGACTTATTTCACCTAGTATAATACCTTCTAGGTCCATCCATGTGGTCTCAAATGTCATGATCTCATTTTTTTTTTTTTACAAATAGTTTATTGTCAAATTAGTTTCCGCATAACACCCAGTGCTCATCCCCATGAGTGCCCTCCTCCATGCCCATCCCCACACCCCCCCACATCCATCAATCCTCAGTTTTTGTCAGCATTCAAGAGTCTCTCATGGTTTGCCTCTCTCCCTTTCCCCCACCATTTCCCCCTACTTCTCCCCCTTGTTCCTCAGTTAAGTTCCTCCTAATCCTCCTACATGTGCAAACATAAGATATTTGTCCTTCTCTGCCTAACTTATTTCACTCAGCATAACACCCTCAAGGTCCATCCATGTTGCTACACATGGCCAGATTTCATTGTTTCTCATTGCCATGTAATATTCCATGGTATAGATAAACCACATCTTCTTGTGTCATGATCTCATTTTTAATGGCTGCATAATATCCCAGCATGTGTGTATACCAGTTTCCTTATCTATTCATCTATCAGTGGACAATGGGGCTGCTTCCATAATGTGGCAGTTGTAAACAATCCTGCAATAAGCATAGGGGTACATATATCCCTTCAAATTAGTGGTTTTTGTTTTCTTTGGCTAAATACCTAGTAGTGGAATTACTGGATCATATGATATTTCTATTTAAACATTTTTGAGGAACTGTCATACTTTTTTCCACAGTGACTGTAGGAATTTACGTTTTCACCAACAGTGCATGAGGGTTCCTTGTTCTCCACATTCTCATCAACATTTGTTGTTTCTTGTCTCATTGAGTCTAGCCATTCTGAGAGGGGTGAGGTGGAATCTTGTGGTTTTGATTTGCATTTCTCTGATGATTAGTAATGTCGAACATCTTTTGATGTGTCTCTTGGCCAAGGAAAATTAATTTTCAATAAAAAGGTGCAATTTGTGGGGTGCCTGAGTAGCTCAGTTGCTTAAGCATCTGACTATTTGGGCTCAAAAATGTAAAAATAATTTTTTTTGAGTGTATAGTTTGGGGTGCCTGAGTGGCTTGGCTGGTAGAGCATCCTACACTTTGGCTTGAGTCATGATCTCACAATTTGAGAGTTCAAGCCTCACGTCTTGCTTGCTGCTGTCAGCTCTGAGTCCAATTCGGATCCTCTGTCCCTCTTTGTCTCTGCCCCTCCTCTGCTTGCACTCTCTCTTTCAAAAATAAACAAGCCTTTGAAAAAATAAAAAGTATACAATTTTTGTTACTGCCTTTACGAAAAAATTCATTTTTAATTTTAATAATTTTTAAAGTGTATTTACTTAGTGTGCATGCATGTGTGTGCATATGTGACTAGGGGAGGGACAGAGAGAAAGAAGGTAAGAGAGAGAGAGAGAGAATCCTAAGCTACTGACAATGCAGAGCCCACAGGGCTTGAACTCACAAACAGTGAGATCATCACCTGAGCTGAAACCAAGAGTCCATCGCTTAACCAACTGAGCCATCCAGGCGTCCCTATGAAAAAATTCTTTGAAGAGATGTCAAGTTTACATCAGAACTTCAAATGGGTTAGTGGCCCAGAAGAGTTTCATCATTATTTATCTGGGTTGATTTCTTCCCAACATCTTTTTTTTTTTTTAACTTAAAAAAATGTTTTATTTACTTCTGAGAGAGAGAGACAGCATGAGCAGGGGAGGGTCAGAAAGAGAGGGAGACACAGAATCCAACACAGGCTCCAGGCTCTGAGCTAGCTGTCAGCACAGAGCCCAACGCGGGGCTCGAACCCATGAACCATGAGATCATGACCTGAGCCGAAGTCGGACGCTTAACTGACTGAGCCACCCAGGCACCCCTCAACTTCCCAACATCTTATCTTCACTACTATAGTCCTCTGATAAGGGCTCATGAAAAACAAATCATTTAAGATTACACAAACTATTCTCCTTCTAGTAATGGGGAACTATTTTGTTGTAGACCAATCCTTGTAAGGACACCAACACAAAGCTAGCAAGGGGAGGTTGGTTTCAAAACACTGGGGAGCTATCCTGGCACTGATGACTTGAGGCACGTGAAGGTAGCAACATAACCAGTCTGGATTCACAAGCAGTGATCGACCATTCTTCCCCCAACTTCTTGGAATTAGGTAATACCTAGAATCTTGATGTAATCTCAAAGGATCATCCCAAGAATGACTTATATGAAATTTCTCATCACCAAGTGGTACTATAGGAAACAACAATAATAACCTCATGAGTTGAAAATGAGATGCTATATATTTTGCAATGTGAGTCGGTAGAGGAAAAATATCTTAAACACTGTGTGTGGGAAAATATCTGAGTCTAAATATCTTTTAGAAGGTAGTGCTTGATGCCACCTATTAATTTAATTGTCTTTATCTAAATTCTTAAACAGGAGAATCAAACTGGGTCTACTTAGTTCAGTCATGGGCGATAATTTTCTTTTTCTTTTTTTTTTTTTTTTTACAAATAGTTTATTGTCAAATTAGTTTCCACATAACACTCAGTGCTCATCCCCACAAGTGTCCTCCTCCATGCCCATCCCCCCTCCCCCCCACATCCATCAGTCCTCAGTTTTTGTCAGCATTCAAGAGTCTCTCATGGTTTGCCTCTCTCCCTTTCCCCCACCATTTCTGCCCTTCTTCTCCCCCTTGTTCCTCCGTCAAGTTCCTCCTAATCCTCCTATACGTGCAAACATATGATATTTGTCCTTCTCTGCCTGGGCGATAATTTTCAAAAGGGTAATGCAGTGCTGCTTTCTTGGAAAAGGATTTCAAATTGCCGATTCACTCCTGATGGAAAGAGTTCAAGCTAAAAGAACAACATGCACTTTGACTCTAATAGTATGTGATTTTGTTTTCAATTCATACAAGTTATTATCTTTTCCATTGCTAGTTTTTGCATGACTCCCTTATTAGACTCAAATATCCTATATTTGTACGTCTGACCTGAACCTACCACAAGTCTTCTTTTGATCTAATCTCCCATTCTCCCTGTTAGTTTTTCGTCTTTTTTTAAAATTTTGGTATATTAGTCCTTTTTGCCTTTGCTCATACCATCTCAGTGCTCTATTCAAAGGCTTGCTGCTGTAATCTAGAAATGTAGAAGGAATGAAAAGAACAAAAGAAAATGGAGCACAGGGTTGTCAGTGGTCAAGAGCAGAAAGTGACTTGGGGAGCACATACTGGAGATGAAGCAAAGAAGCAAATAGTTTTTTAACTTGATGTTCCTATGTATAAAGTTCACAAGAATTACATTCTTTGGACCATCTGTGTCCTTGGGTTTGTGTTTCTTTATCTCCGAGGGGAACTGGAAGCAGATGCATATGTTTTGTAGCCACTTCTCCTTTCCTCCTTCTGACTTGTTGTATTTCTAACCAACCCCAGAAAGAATTTTCTGGGCTTTTAATACTGTTCTCAATATCTATTTTATCATTCACTGTAACTATCCCATTACTTTAAAAGCTTGTTGAGTTCTATAGGCACCTATTCATAGTAGGGTTGTGTGTGTGTGTGTGTGTGTGTGTGTGTGTGTGTGTGTGTTTGTGTGTATTCAAGACTGCTCACATAAGAATGTGGAGATATTTGTGATATTAATAAAGAGAAAGGTCTACATTGTAGAGACTGTGTATATTGAAAAATACCCAAGCTCCTGAGTAATTACAAAGAATTAATGAAGACTGTCTTTGATGGTACACCGCTTCAAGCTCCCCCTTACCTACTCAGGGAGATAATAAAAGATTACTAAACTATACCCAATATTGGTCTTGATGCAATAAGAATGTTTCCTCACTTTGCAGAAAGATTCCAGAATCTTCCATGTTGCAATCATATTCCTGAACAATGTCTGTGGATCTTTATGTAATTTCTATATTAACCCTTATTATTGAAGCCATATCTGATCAATCAGACTTCTGCTTACTTCTAAGACTCTCTACAATACTTGGCTTAAACTTTACATAAAATCCAATGTTGACTTGTGAGCACTTAAATTAAGGCCTACAAATAAATTTCTTTTAGGGGGTATGAAATTTTCTATTTTGCGTGCCAGAATAGGAATCAGAGAGAGAAATCTTATGTCAGGAATTGAGCGCATAATCTAAAATTCTTGTCAAAATTTCCTTGAGCAGGTTGGAATATGTTTCTCAATTTCCTCTTATTTTCCCTAGTATTTTTAAATCACTTGAAACTTTTCCAAACCACAACTTCTTCTTCAAGATACCCAGAAGAGTTTATACCAGAAGGCTCTTAGCCTCATAAGAGTGTTTAGCAGTTTGTCTCTGAGCTCTAACCTCTTTGAATGAAGCAGAGCTCTGTGTGACATCTTCAGAGCAAGAGGTAAAAGAGGCTCCTGAATCTTCTGAATACAGAAGATAATGGTACGAGAAGGGCAGCCTCAAGGTAGAGGTGAGCATTCCTTTTCTCAGTTCCAGAGAAGAGATTAGAAGTATATGCTGAGATGATAAAGGTCATTTGGAGAGAAGGGATGGACAACAGATTGATGGGACAGAGTGATGGGAAGTTGAAAGAAAGAATAATTCCTCAGAGTCAGAAGCACTTCAAAGAGTAAGAAACTAAATATTACTGCAGTGGTATGGGAAGAAGAAGGAAAAGTGATGTTTTCAGCAAGGCAGAGACTCAATGGGTTAACACAATATTTAAGAAGAAAGAATAAGGAAATGGGAATTACAGTTGACTGAGGGTGAGTTTTGCCCAGATTGTTTAGGACTACAGAACCACTACTGATTTATTTATTCTGAAGAAGTCCTCCCTCCTTATTTTTTAGAGAGAGAGTATGAGTGGGGGAGAGGAAAAGAGAGAGAGAGAGAGAGAATCCCAATGCAGGGCTCAATCCCATGACCCTGGGATTATGACCTTAGCCAAAGTCAAAAATCCAACACTCAACCAACTGAGCCACCCAGGCACCCCTATTCTGCTATTCTGAGGGAATTTCCAAGTTTTCCTCTTGTTTTAGTTTTTTAATTACTCTGAGATTCTTCATCTGGATTCTTCATTAATCTAAGCTTCTTAAAAATGTTCACTTCCTGACTCCTTGATAACTGCATTTTTCTTGCTGATATGACAGAGAATGCAGTATGGCGGTCCCAAGTAAGATGCTGGTCTGTTGCTGTGATTTCCATAGCGCTCCTCAGTGCTTGTTTCATTGCGAGCTGTGTGGGTAAGTTCTTCCCTTAGGTGCCATTTCCCTGGATTCCTTTTCCTATCATGTTCTAGAAAGATTTCCTAAGGTATGTTCTTCTTCTTCTTTTTTTTTAAAATCTCATTAATATGTTATCTCTTACTTGGAATACCATATTTGATTTCTCCTCCTCCTCCTCCCTTCCCTCCTCTTTTTCCATCTTTTGGTAACTGACTCTGCTTCCAGATCTACTTTACCGGGTTTTATTAGCATGCTCCCCTCCATGGCCTCACGTACGAATGTGTGTTAGTTGGAGACACCCTCTGTGACATTGTCATCCACCCCTGGATTCCCTAGTGATCATGGTTCTCTGGGCACAGAAGCCCTCTATTTTGAGATCTCAACTATAATTACAAGATTAGGCTCTTTGATTTTCATGTGGGAGTCTTTCCCAGTATGAGACGAAAACGTTTGCAAATGCAATATTGAAGATATAGGGGAATGAAGTCTTTTTTCCTTGTTCAATTTACTTCCAAGTAAATATTGGAAGTTCATTTTGTGAGAAGTTTCAAAGATCTTTTTGCTCTTTGGGCTATAGTTTGGTTCTCTATTCATTGATAATGTAATTAGAAATAATTTTGAATCATCTGGGCGGGAGTGAAAGTAACTACCTATGTCATATGAGCCATGTTTGAATTTCCTTCTGAGATGTAAACCAATCCCCCAGCCTTTATTAAAACACAGCTATCACCAGTTTAAAGTTAAAATCTGCTTTACTTTTCATGGTCAAGTGCAAAAGAGGTTTAAGAATAATTATTTCATTAAAGGAAGTAGATGTTCAGGACCCCAAGGAAAAAAGTCTTGTCTTTATTGAGCTTCAGTAGTAGAAGGACAAGAAAAAGTAAGTGAAGAGTCACGGCAGGACCTGAGAGAGAAGTAAGTCTTGCTTAATGTGCACACTCTTGAGCATAAAAGTGAATGTTTATCCGAGACATTTAAAGTATCTCAGTGTTTAAAGTTCCCCTTGGTTGTTACTTACCCCACGTATTTCTCTGTAGCTACCAACAGTCAGAAATTTTAGAAAATATCCAAATAAGCTGCAAGCTTGCTTCAGAATAAAACTAAGGAGAAACAGCCAGTGAGTCAACACATATTGATTACTCTGTGACCATCACTGTTCCAGGAGTTTGTGATTGATTGATGTGGAAAACCGATAAAACCTCTGCCCGAGAATATAGAGCTTAAACTTCAGTGGGGAAAGAACCAAAAACAAATGTGCAGGCATATAAACAAACAAAATTGATGAACACGGACAAGTAGTAACTCAGCATAGTCTTTATTGAGCTTGCCTAGAGAGAAGAGATTGGTGGTGGTTGGGAGAAAGCCAGCTGGGCAAGATATATAGCAGCAGGAATCTCTATAATAAAAACAAATGATCAATGCTAATCCTCCTGCTGCCTTCACAGTGACTTATCATCTTACATATGGCAAAATTGACAAACGGCTGTCTGAACTACACACATACCACTCATGTTTAATGTGCTTCAGTGAAGGGACAAGCTTGACAGGTAAGGTGTTGTGATAACTAACCAGACTTTCTCTTTTCTCAGAGAGAGGTTAAGGTCAAGTTCAACATTGGTTTATTCCATTTTTTTAAAAAAATAAAGTCTCTGCTTTGAGATATCTCTACATTTACATGTTCAGATCAGGCTTTAGATTCACCCTCAGAACAATTTTCTCTCCAGACCTCTTGATCTCAATAAATGCTACCAACACATCTCATGTACTTTGCTCAAGTTAACACTGGAAGTTATTCCTAACAGTTCTCATTTCACATTAGCCTCATCCTTATCAAACGGATAAAAATCCTCTTTTTGATATCTGAAGTTCTCAGTAATAGCCACCTGCATTCCAAGTGTCAGCTTTATTATTGGCCAGTGTGGATCTTGGAACACGGCTCAGGATGAGATTGCCCTCACTCTAAAATATAATCCTGGTAACTTCCTATGTGAAGAGCTGGGGCAGTTGAATTCAGAATCATCACTATAGCTAGTGAAAAAAGTCAAAGAAAGGTAAAGTGCATGTCTGTAGTAGTCTTTATGGCCTTACTCTTTCCAGGAAAAAAAATCCAAATAGATTTCAGACTCTTGCTACTTCAAGAACTAAATAATCCAATCTTCTGCTTCTATGCAAAAACCTATGAGGGATAAAAAGAGAGCGGATGTTTCTTTGTATTTCTATGAGATGTTGGAATTTTCCCTTTTATGTTATTTGGCAATTATATGGTACATGGGGTGATGGGGGATGATTTTTTTTGCTCTCCCTGCCTTCTGGGTCTCTCGTCACATTGGGGTTCTTTAGTCAAACTGCTGTGGAGCTGGCCCTTCTGGGGAGGAAAGCAGAATTCTATTAGGATGTAGGCACTCAAGCAACTGGAGTTTCAAAGAATGGCTTCTTGGAAGCAGCAATGGGTGCTTTACCCTTTGCCTTCAGAACATTCTGAAATGAATGAGACAGAGATGGATATTAATTCAATGAACTGCACATTTGTGTGGTATGAGAGACTGCAAATCTACTCCTTAAAAATATCCAACTTGATGGGTGGCTCAGTCGGTTGAGCATCCGACTCCAGCTCAGGTCATGATCTCATGGTTCATGGGTTCAAGCCCTGCATCAGGCTCTGTGCTGACAGCTCAGAGCCTGGAGCCTGTTTTGGATTCTGTGTCTCCCTCTCTCTGACCCACCACTGCTCATGTCGTCTCTCCTTCTCTCTCAGAAATAAATTTTAAAAAACATTAAAAAAGAAAAAATACCCAACTTGCTATTATTTATGGCCAACTGAGCTGTTCAATACAGCTAATTCAAGTTACATGATTCAAGTTTACATAATAAAATTATTTTACATAATACCATGTCACCAACTAAGAGGGCTTAAATGTTAACAGTATCTTTTCAAATTCTTATTACAATGAAGAGGAAAAGTAAAAGTCTAAACAAAAAATTTTCATTTTGATTACAGCTAGGAAATAATTGATAGCCACCATGTATCTTCTCTAATTTCTTTCCCCCTGAGTCCCAATCAGAGTGTTGAGATGTTCAGATGCGCAGGTAAAGTTTCTTCAGTACATCTGGGCTCTACCTAGGCCTGTAGTTTTCAAACTCTTTTGCTTTCCAGTCCCCAAAAAGGATTTTGGAAAACTATGTACCACCTTATACAAATTATTTTGGCATTTAAATCTTTTTGTCTTTTTTAACCAAGTTATAGAAACGAAGTCTTTAAATTCTAAAATATTGTAAATATTGACATTTAAAACACAAAATTCTTGCATCTCTTTTAAAAATCTATCTACTAGTGTTTAAATACTATCAGAGTAGTGATACCCCTGCTACCATCATTCATTAAAAAAAAGGAATATGTATTCTTTAACAGTTGGATGTTTTACATTAATCTTTTTCCCTCTTCAACTAATGTTTACATTGCACTTCCTCAATTTTCTAAAATATGTACTATATGTTTGATATTTTCATTTCCTGAGGAACATTAGGTTTTACATGTTATAAAATTTCTTCTGGGTTGACTTACCATTACTTATCATTAACTTATCCGTATTATGAGGAAACAATGTTCAAAGCATCACATTTATTACAAATTTGAATAAATTATTACCAATAAACTAAAACTATTAGAAACTCATCTCTCTCCCTTTTTTAATTCACCTTGGAGAGAGCGAGAGAGAAAGAGAAAGAGCATGAGCTGGGGAGAGGGGCTGGGAAGGAGAGAGAGAATTCCAAGCAAGCCCTGATGTGGGGCTTGATATCACAACCCTGGGATCATGACCTGAGCTGAAATCAAGCGTCAAATACTCAACTGAGTCACCCAGGTGCTCCAGCTCATCTCTCTCTCTCTGCCCCTCCCCTGCTCACTCGCTGTCTCAAAATAAACAAACTTTTAAAAGACTAATTAACAGAATACATAATTGAGATAGATTTCTAAAAGTGGCTAATATTAAAATGATACAGATATGGCCTATTTTATTCAACTTATAGTATTATAAGAGCTAAAAGTCTGTACGTTGTTTCTCATAATTTAGTGATGTAATAATACACAAAATAAATAAAATAGACCTACATGCAACATATTAGCAAAAATCTTAGCAAAAATTAAGAGCAAGAAGAGCAGATATATTATAATAGCTTTAAAAACACTCAAACCTCAACAAATCTAAATGACTTGTTATTTATTTATATATATGTATATATATACACACATAATATATTTACATATACATATATGTAACATATATATATTTATTTATCTGCTAAAATTATTCACCCGCATTAGTCATTTAAAATCCTGAGAGACCTTGGTGTTTCTAATATATAAAGGATTTGAAGAACAGGGGAAAATCTTGATAATAACTCTTTTTGCAAAAAGTCCAGAGCAATTATGCAGGTAAACTTTAGGAAATATTGAGGGCTCAATGCTAAAGAATGTTTATTTAAAAGCAGATCTAGGGGCGCCTGGGTGGCTCAGTCGGCCAAGAGTCCGACTTCAGTCCAGGTCAAGATCCCGTGCTTCATGGGTTCGAGCCCCACGTTGGGCTCTGCGCTGAAGGCTCGGAGCCTGGAGCCTGCTTCAGATTCTGTGTCTCCCTCTCCCTCTGCTCCGCCCTCCTACTCTGTCTCTCTGTCTCCTAAAAATAAAAAATAAACATTAAAAAAAAAAAAAGCAGATCTATGGCTCCAAATGATATAATTCAGGGAAGCAGTAAAGACATGAAATAAGAAACCCGCCTCTAGAAAAGAATTGCAGATCCTTGGAATTTGATGTGTATGAAACTTACCTCTTTGATCCCATTTATACCGAATCGCACTCATTTCTCTCTTGGGTGCAACACAGGGAATGTCTGGGCCTGTTGCCCATGTAGCTGGAAGTCCTTTGGTTCCAGCTGCTACTTCATTTCTACGGAGCAGAACTTCTGGTCGAAGAGCGAGCAGAACTGTGTTGCGATGGGCGCGCACTTGGTGGTGATCAACACGGAAGCAGAGCAGGTACTTGTGTTTACTTTTCATTACATTTTTTTTAATTGCGGAAGAAAATATGGAGGTTGCCCTCTGAACTCTAAGTGTACAGTTCAGTAGCGTTAACCAGAGTCGTACCGTTGCAAAAGGATCTCTACGACTTTTCATTGTGCAGCACGGAAACTCTACACCCGCTGAGCCACCACTTCCACTGCCCCCCACCTCCAGGCCCGGGACCCAGCCTTCTGTTCTCTCCTTCAATGAGTTGGACTCCTTTAGGCCCGTCGTATAAGTGGAACCATACAGCACTTGTGTTTTTTTGCGACTGCCTTATTTCACTTAACGTAATGTCCTCAAAGCTCTTTCGTTTTGTAGCAGTACCAGAACGCCTCTTCCTTTTTGGGGCTGAATAATATTCCACCCTGCATAGACCACATATGGCTTATCCATTCAAGTGCTGATGGATATCTGGGATGCTTTGACCTCTTGGATGTTGGGACTCATGCTGCAGTGAACACGGGTGTGCAAATGTCTCCATGAGATCTTGCTTTCCGTGACTTTGGATATATACCCAGAAGCTGGATTTCTGGATCATGTAGCAATTCTAATTTTAACTGATTTGAAGAACCACTGCACTGTTTGACACTGTGTCTGTACTATTTACACTCCTTCAAAGAATGCACAAGGATTCCAATTTCTCCACAATCTTGATAGAACTTTTTGTTTTTTCTTTTCTTCTCTTTTTTATTAAATTTTTTTAAATGTTTATATATTTTTGAGAGACAGAGAGAGACAGAGCATAAGTGGGGGTGGGGGTGGGGGAGAGGCAGAATCTGAAGCAGGCTCCAGGCTCTGAGCTGTGGCTCAAACTCAGGAACTGCGAGGTCATGACCTGAGCTGAAGTCAGATGCTTAACCAGCTGAGCCACCCAGATGCCCCTCTTCTCTTTTTAATTTGATAGCAGCCATCCTACTGGGTGTGAGATTATATTCCATTATGGCTTTGATTGACACTTCTCTAATGATTAGCAATATTAAGGATCTGTTCCTGTTCCCTCATGCAGTGTTTTGGGAATGCAAACTGATGCAGCCTCTGTGGAAAAGAGTATGGAGGTTCCTCAAAAATTAAAAATGGAATTACCCCATGATCCAGTAATTGCACTATTGGATATTTATCTAAAGAATATGAAAACACTAATTTGAAAGGATATATGCACCCGTATGTTTATTGCAGCATTGTTTACAATAGCCAAGATATGGAAATAGCCCAAATGTCCACAGATAGATGAATGGATAAAAAAGAGGTGGTGTATACAGATATACCATGGAATATTATTCAGCCGTAAAAAAGAATGAAATCTTGCCAATTGCAACAACATGGACAGACCTAGAGTATTATGATGCTAAGTGAAATAAGTCAGTCGGAGAAAGACAAATTTCACTCACATGCAGAATTTAAGAAGCAAAACAAATGAACATAGGGGAGGTGGAGAAAGAGAGATGGAAGCAAACCATAAGAGACTCTTAACTATAGAGAACAAACTGAGGGTTGATGGAGGGAGGGGTGTAGGAAATGGGTTAAATGGGTGCTGGGGATTAAGGAGGGCACTTGTGATAAGCACTGAGTGTTGTATGTCAGTGATGAATCACTACATTCTACACCTGAAACTAGTTTTACCATATATGTTAACTAATTAGAATTTAAATAAAAACTTGAAATTAAAACAAAATTGTGTCTCTTTCGATTTCCTTAAAAAATGTTTTGTGATTTTCAAATGATAAGATTTTCACTTTCTTTGCGAAGTTTATTCCTAAGTATTTTATTCTTTCGATGTTCCTGTCAGTGAGATTGCTTTCTTAATTTTCTTTTTGTATTGTTTATTGTTATTGTGTAGACATGCAACTGACTTTTGTATGTTTATTTTGTATCCTACAACTTCTCTGAATCTGTGTCTTAGTTACAACAGTGTTATCAGCTTTAAAGAGATATAATTGCCATATAAAATTGTCTGAGTTTAAGGTGTGCAATGTGATGACTTGACGTATGTATGTATTGCAAAATGGTTACCTCAAAAAGTTAGTTAACACATCCATCAATTTACACAAATACCATTTGTTTTTGAGGTTAGAACATTTAAGTTCTATTCTCTTACCCACTTTGAAGTATACAGTACAGTATTGTTAAGTGACACCATGCTGTACATTACAGTTCCAGAACTTATATTCATCTTCTAGCTAGAAGTGGGTACTTTTTGGCTAACATCTTCCCATTTCCCCCACGCCCCAGCACCTGAAGCACTATTATAGTCTATTTCTATAAGTGGCTTTTTCAATTCAATTCAATTCAATTCAATTCAATTCAATTCGCTAATTTGCTTTTTATTTGAGTACAGTTAACACAAATATCACATTAGTTTCAGGTGTACAACATAGTGATTTGACAACTTATATGTGATGCTATGTCCGCAGAAGTGGAGCTACCATCTTTCACCCTACAATATGGTTACAATACCAGTGACTATATTCCTTATGCTGAGTCTTTTATCCCTCTGACTTATTCATTCTATAAGTTTGACTTTTTTTAAAATTTTTTTTTTAAATTTTTTTATTTCTAGGAGAGAGAGAGAGACAGCATGAGCAGGGGAGGGTCAGAGAGGGAGGGAGTCACAGACTGAAACAGGCTCCAGGCTCTGAGCTGGCAATCAGCACAGAGCCCGACACGGGGCTCAAACCCACAAACCCCGAGATCATGACCTAAGTGAAAGTCGGACGCTTAACCGACTAAGCCACCCAGGCTCCCCAAGTTTGACTTTTTTAGAATTCACATGTGAGTGAGATCATACTGTACTTGTTTCTCTCTCACTTATTTCACTTAGCATAGTACCCTTAACGTCCATCCATGTTGTCACAAATGGCAGCGTTTCCTTCATTTGATGACTGAATAATATTACACTTTCATTATTCTTTCATCTATAGACACTTAGGTTGTTTTCGTGTCTCGGTATTGTAATTAATGCTGCAATAAACATGGGCTTGCAGCTATCTCTTCAAAATAGTAGTTTCATTTCCTTCCTCCCCAGAAGAGGGATTGCTGGATCATATGGAAGTTTTATTTTCAATCTTTTGGGGAAGTTCCATATTGTTTTCCATATTGGCTGTGCCAGTCGGCATTCTCATCAACAGTGCACATAGGTGCCCTTTTCTCCACATTCTTGATGGCATTTATTATCTTTGTATTAGCATTTATTTTCTTTAGTGTCTTTTGAGATTAGCCATCCTAACAGTTATAAGGTGATATCTCATTGTGGTTTTGAGTTACATTTTCTTTTCTTTTTTTAAAAATATTTTTATTTATTTCTAGGAGAGAGAGAGAGAGACAGCGTGAGCAGGGGAGGGTCAGAGAGAGAGGGAGACACACTCTGAAATAGGCTCCAGGCTCTGAGCTGGCAGTCAGCACAGAGCCCGACGCGGGGCTCGAACCCACGAACCGCGAGATCATGACCTAAGTGAAAGTCGGACGCTTAACCGACTAAGCCACCCAGGCGCCCCATTGAGTTACATTTTCTTAATGATTAGTGATATTGAGCATCTTTCCATACCTAGTGGCCAATTATATGTCATCTTTGAAAAAAATGTCTCTTTGGGGCACCAGAGTGGCTCAGTCGGTTAAGCATCCGACTTGGCTCAAGTCATGATCTCACAGTTCATGAGTTCAAGACCTGTGTCAGGCTCTGTGCAGACAGCTTAGAGCCTGGAACTTACTTTAGATTCTGTGTCTCTCTGCCCTCCCCTGCTCATGCTCATGCTCATGCTCTGTCTCTCTCAAAAATAAGTAAACATTAAGAAACAAATTTAAAAAAGAGAGAAAAATGTCTATTCAGGTTCTTTGCCCATTTTTAATTGGATTTAAATTATTTAATTTAATTTTGTTGTTGAGTTGTAAAAGTTCCTTATATAGTTTGGATATTAATCCCTTATCTGTAGCTGGTTTGCCAATATTTTTTCCTATTCCATAGGTTCCCTTTATATTTTGTTGATTATTCTTTTACTGTGCAGAAACTTCTAAATTTGATGTAGTTGCACTTCAATTTTGCTTTTGTTGTCTTTGCTTCTGGTGTCATATCCAAAAAATCATTGCCAAGACCAATGTCAAGGAGGTTTTCCTCTATGTTTTTTTCTTGAAGTTTTTTCAGGTCATACATATAAGTTTTTAAATCCATTTTGAGTTAATTTTTCTAAGTGGAATAACATAGTGGCCCAATTTTATTCTTTTGCAAGTGATTATTCAGTTTTTCCAATACCATTTATTGAAGAGACTGTCCTTTGAGTATTCTTGGTTCCCTTGCTATATATTAGTTTATTATGTGTGTATATGTTTACTTTTGAACTCTCTATTCTGTCCCACTGGTCTTTGTTCCTGTTTTTATGTCAATATCATAATGTTTTGATTACTATAGATTTGTAACATAGTTTGAAATCAAGATGTGTACTGATTCCAGCTTTATTCTTTCTCAAGATTGCTTCAGGTATATGAGGTGTTTTATGGTTCTATATGAATTTTAGGATTGTTTTTTCTATTTCTGTGAAAAATGCTATAGGTATTTAATAGGTAGAGATTAATTACATTGAATCTACAGATGGCTTTGGGTAGTCTGGGCATATTAACAATATTAAGTCTTCCAATCCATGAACATGGGATATGTTTCCATTTATTTCTGTCTTTCCCAATTCTTTCGTCAATGTATTATAGTTTTCAGTGTACAGATTTTTCATCTCCTTGGATAAATTTATTCTTAAGTATTTTATTATTACTATTATGTATAGTATTTATTATGCTACTGTAATGAGATTATTTTAAATTTCTTTTCCAGGTAGTTCACTGATTTTTGTATTCTGTAACTTACCAAATTTGTTTATTAATTCTAACAATTTCTTGGTGGAATTAAAATTTTCTATATATAAGATTATAGCATCTGCAAACAGAGAGAATTAATTTCTTCCTTTCTAATTTGGATATCTTTTCTTTCTTTC